ATCTATCACAAAACACAGTGATCTAAGTAAGCATACAAATTATACAGGTATGCGAGTACCTAAGCATAAATGCTGCTTACAGATCTAATACATAACACGGACAGTGACCTAAGTAAGCATGCAAATTATACAGGTATACAAGTACCTAAGCATAAATGCTGCCTACAGATCTAATACATAACACGGACAGTGACCTAAGTAAGCATGCAAATTATACAGGTATACGAGTACCTAAGCATATATGCTGCCTACAGATCTAATACAAAGACAATAAACGCACATCACATACATAAAATAACAGCAAAAGGGTTAGATAGGCAGTGATAATGTGTAAGAAAAACCTGACATCCTTTGATCTTGGGCAATAGTTCATCGAAACGTTCTCAGTGACCCTTTCAAATAAAGCGCCACAGTAGAGTCACATGATATCTTATAACGACGTAAATATTGTTTCAGTGATGTAATGTGCCGTCCATTGATAGTGGCATGCTATGTGCTCATGTTGTGTTAATCAGTACGATGACATGCATTACGCAAGTATTCCCTATGCAATGAATAGAAATGAAATCTGAGACGAGCACTTTGAAAGTGCTGCTTCAGGCCGGTAACTAAGCCGTGTAGCTCGTCATGGCATACTGAAATAGCAGTTACAAAAAGAAAAAAATGTCTGTAGCAATGGTTGGGTGTGAGAATTTACAGCTAGTTATTACAGTTATGCGATTTTGTCCTCTCTTAGCATCATTTAAAAATATTTAGCACTATGCATTGTGCTTACTATCGAAGTGAAACCACTTAACCTGTGGATCTGAATTGTTTAGAATATGAATTTATCAAGAAACATTATATGAACGTAAAAGCAATGCAACTATAACACCACCAAAAAAAGCCGGATAACATTGCTTTTGTTTTGTTTCTGCAAATGTGATTTGAGAATGCAGGAATTAAGCAGGATCCAAAGAATTCAAGGGCAAGGTTAATTCACCCACCTGAATTTTGAACTCAAATATTTAAAAATCTAATGACCAGTGAAGTCAAAGGAAGATTTTTTTGTTGCATAATTAGATACTACATTCATAAATCAGTACCATTATCTCAATATTTTTTTTACTATTATTATAAATATTTTGGATATTTTACGATTTTTCTTTAGTCCAACGTGTGCTTGAATTTCAATGTTAGTAGCCATTTCCTACAAAAATGATATTCATATTTCCTTTCATAATCCCCTATTATCTCTTTTTTGTTATTATAATTATTTTTGATATTTCGCTAACTTTTTTTTTGTTTGTTTGTTCATCGTGTGCTTGAATTTCAATGTTGGTAGCATTTCCTGGAAAGGGTATCTGTTTGAAAAGAATTTGAATTCCAGGAAATGTGATACTATGATTTGTTATATTGGTTCTGAGAAAAAGGAAGCACTACAGAATCACTGAATTTTGCTGGCATATATCCAGAAAATTGAGTTAATAACTCATTAGTAATTAACCTTACAGAATAAGGACTTACAGTATTGGTCGTGGGAAAAAATGAAATATTCTACTACAAGAACATTCTGTTTACCTGGAAAATATTATCCTCCACTACGATATCAAAACCAGTATACATAATGGATAGAAAAAGAGTGTTCACAATTTATCCACGAAACTGTATTAAATATATACATAAGTACAGCATAGTTCTAATGTTTCGCGTATGTATATGCCAATAAATATCTTCTTGTATAAATACAGAATACGTTTCTAACTCTTCCTTGAAATTGATTCAACATTACAATAAGCCATTTACACGACACTCATTCCCTCTCATTTATCGTAACCAGATTTTCCATTAAACAACTCAAGTTGTTTAAGAAACATTACCATCTTTACCTGGAGAGCCACAAAGCTTTATCCGGCCAGGAAATCTCAGAGTTATTGCTTCAGCTTTTCTTTCCTTGTTCTAGTAACTTTAAAGAGAACACGTAGCCCTTAATAACATAACCTAGTTATATTGCTTTACTTCAAGACTGCGGTCAATATTTTTTGCTATAGTACAAAAGGGCAATTAAGGATGTATTGGAAAAGCTTTCATAGCATAGCTAGTGTCATTTCTTTAATGTTCAGCAATAATAGAATGATAATATTTTTTCATAAAGAGTTCAGGATATCACTTAAATCTTTAGAATTGATTCTCTTACCCAACACTGAGCTCAGAAATAAAATTTAGTGCGTTGCCCTTAGATTAAATAGCATATTCTGCTAATATTGTGCGGAAACATTTTGACATTCTTGAGAAAAATTGCCAAGGATTTAGATACAGTAAATTTGTTGCTTGTGTCAAGTACAATGGAAAATATATTCTTAAAAATGCGATGACAAAGTAGAATTTTTTTGTAACGTTTCTTAACCATTTATTATTATTATTCAAACTGATATGTCAAACATTTAGATTATTTGTATGCATATAAACTAAAAAACTCCTAAAATAACCATTTTTTAACATTTTTTAAATTCAAATATCATACATACATATTGCTTAAATCTATTTGTATACATATAAACTAATGAAGACTCCTAAAAGAGCCATTTGTTTTTACTTCTCGGAAGTACTGTATGAATTATGCCAAAGATTTGCATCATTTATTGTTAGTCTTGATCCTTCTCCTTTGTTAAATTAAGCAAACATACCCAAGAGTTTATCATAAGAACTAAAACTAAGAATCAACTAAAAACAAGGGTTTTACTGACTGCTTTAGGTAGAAGTTGGTTTGTTCTAATCATCAATAATCATCAATTATTATGATGTACACGCCTTTTTGTCAGTGCTAAAATTATGTGTAATTTACAAAAAGGATTTGCTTCAAGTTCTATAAAAACAAGCTACACCACTAGAACTCAAAAGACCAGATTTAGTCTTGAAATTTCGCATCGTTGCTTGAAAATTAAAGAAAAATAGAAGCTCTAGAATTAGTCATTACATATATAATCTATAAATAACAGAAACAGCCTAAATTTGTACAAGAATTTGCACATATTTGCTCCTTTGACGAGCTCTATTTAGATTGGGGGGAAAATTAAACGCTTAAAATAATTACATATAGATACATTACGTGTGTTAATGATAGTTAATTGCTTTATCATTTAGAATCGAGATGGCCGATTCACTTTAGTTCAGTTCGACTTGGAAAAGCAGTTTGTCGCCGTTTTCAGTGATTGGTCTCACTAAAGTTGTAGTTTTCTATGAATTTAAATAAAGATTTTTCTTTGTTTGTTAAATCGTTCTTCTGCTATTTCTATTCCTTGTCAGTCTCTCTACTTCTCCTTTTCTTGCTCTTTCTCCTTTCTCCTTTCTCCTTCTCCGTCTCCTTTTTCTTTTTTCCTCCATAAATTTATCTCTCTAAGTTTTTCCATAGTTAATTTTATCCACAGGCGTACAGTGCAGGGTAAAGACTTTGCCCAAAGCTGTGTCAAGAAGGGTTATATCTATCGGAATTCACTTGAAACATAAGACTTTGTTACAGACGGTGGCATGGCGTTGTACAGGTGCCTTGTTTCGTTATGAGGCGGTTGATGTGATCCAAACATAGAGCAGCAATGGCTACAGAATGATGTCGGGACTCCATAACAATCAACTGGCTCCAAATTTCTCATGCCAAGATTCATAATATTATAATACATCGGGTACATCTCCCGAAAAATCCCGAACTCTTTCGCGCTTCTTTCGGGAGCTAACAACCTGTCCATATCAAAAGATTTGCTTCTTCTTGCCTCGTCTCGTCTTTCTTTGCCTTCTTTCTTTTCGGCACCATTTTTTGGTGAATCAATGTTTATAGATTTGGGAGTCCCTTTTTCAAACTCAGTGCTGCAGACATCAACGTCTTGGTATTCATCCGCAGCCGAGATCCATTCCGGCGAGGATGGAACAACTCTCTCGTGTTCATGCAGAGAAGGTGATTCGGGCAAGTGGGCTTGTTCCATATAGTTGTCTTTCTCTTTTATACCTTCCATATTTCTTTCATCATCGAATCCTCTCTCGTGCAATTCTTTCTGAGCATCACTTTCACAAGAGTTTTGATCCTTCTGTATGTTCTTTCCGGGTGAGCTTTTTGGGGCCAAATATTCTTGGCAGCTTGATTCTCTCTTTCTGATCAAGGCATCCAACTTGGCTCGCGCCTTCTTGCCTCTGTTAGGTCTTTTGTAGGCTCTCTTCCGTCGAAAGTCTCCCCTCCTGAAATCATCGAGATACAAGTGATTGATGGCCCAAAAGTGTCCCTTTCCATTTTGGCTTCTTCCAGCTTTCACGAAGCAGTCGTTCAAAGAAAGGTTGTGTCTAATGCTGTTCCTCCATCCCGTCCCCTTGTTTCTGAAGTATGGATAATTCCCAAGGATGAATCCATAAATATCACTGAGGATAAGTTTTTCTTCAGGAGAGCTTAGAATTGCCTCTGCAATCAGACCAATGTAGGACTGAGTTGGCTTCTCGTCATCAGATGCGTTTGAAAATGAAGCAAATCTGTACATTGAGGGCAGTCTTTGGTTCTGCAAACCCCACCAAGACCACATTGGTGGTTTAAGAAGATGGGACTCCGCTTCTTTATTCCACCAAGGAACAAAATTTGGTACAGTATTGAATGAACTCTCGGCTTTTGGAAAATGAATCGTCGTCTTCACATCAGAATCGTCAGAAGAAACAGAACTGTTCCTTACAGGCGCGAAAGCTGAACCCGAGGAAGCCATAATCCAGCTCTGGTACCTTTTCAGTTGATCTTCGCTGTCAATTATATTTGAAGTAAGCTGAGATACAAACAGAGTGTTTTATAAGGTCGAGCAATCGTGTCAGCAACAGTTAGACAAGATTTGCACTCAATATCTCAATACCACGAGAAGGCAATCGCAAACTTAACAGGAACACATCTCACCAACGTATAACCAAATATTGAGTTAAGTACCCGATACTCGTACAAATATATATATAGTTCTAAAGCCCTTGAGTTTGATAATGTTTGAACTACGGAAATGATTCAATTAGTTTATCAAAACCTTTTAAGGAACATTTCGATTGAAGCGAATAGACTCTTGTTTCTAGTTCACTGACTTAATGACAACCAGAAAATTAATTGCTGCAGAATGAAGTACCAAAGGTGATTATGCATCGACTGTCAAACTGTCCCATTCAGGAAATTTCACTGTTGATTAACCAAGAACAGAGAAAGGTTGCTAAAATATCGTAGATATTTTTTTTTTATTGCGAACGTGATGGAGTCATACTCTGCAATGACTTTTAAAATGTGTGTCGTTTGTCAAACTCAAGGAAAAATAAAGTCGATATAGAAACTTTCTGAAGTTGTTTGGTACTCTTTTGGATTTAAATTAAATAGATGTTTGTTTTATTGGGAGCTTTAATATTAAACTTTCAAACACGCAAGTTGAAAAATTCTTTAGATCAGTTGACTGATTCGTTTTCGACACGATAGCAAATAACCATGTATGCGAGAGGATAAGACAACCTGGGATTGATAATATATAAATATATTCATAAATAAAGATATTTTTAGAAGAAAATATCGAGATTTTTTAAGAGGCAAAGTCTTTCTGAAGGTATGATTTATTTCTTAAAGAGTTGTTCCAGTCAACAAATATAGCAAATAACCACTAGTACTCGTATTTTAAAATAATGACGTAACGTTTGTAAATAGTTTGTAAATTGTAAGTGCAGCTATTGTAATTAAAATCAACAAATAAATAAGACTGTTTGTAAGATTGAACTGATTTACTCTACACTTTATCGCATTAAAAAAAACTTTTTAAAAACGTGGGAAAAATTAAACTAGAAGTTATCTACATTAGTCAGCGAAAGAGCGTTCTATATTTAACCAATCAGAGCGCGCAGTATATAAAGTTCAATTTACTAAATTAACCAATCAGAGCAAGCGCTATATTCAAGTATTACATTAGTTCCTTGTGTCGATGCATAGTTAATTGACTATGGTCAATGTCATTGTAACTATATCAGTCAATTTGCGTCAAATATTTATATTTATTACAAAACGAAAATCTTTGACGTCGTTATTATTATAGTTATTATCGATATATATAGAAATTAAATAAGCCGTTTTTGTTAACCAAATGGCTTCAAATATTTTATCAGACAAATTTAGAGCACGGCCGAATCGACCAAACCCTGAAACCGCAGGGCTTATCTACTTCAGAGCATGGCTAACTCACAGATCTTACCCTTAAAAAAACCTCTGAGCTAATCTAAGTCAGGGCATGGCATGGCTACCTCAAAGATCGAATCCTAAAACAACCTCTGGGCTGACCTAATTCAGGGCATGGCTAACTCACAGATCAAACCCTGAAACAACCTCTGGGCTGATCAAAGTCAAGGCACGGCTAACTCAGAGATTGATCCCTGAAACAAGCAGAACTTCAGAACTCCAGCAGCACGAATTAGAAACTTGCTTCAACTAGGTTTTCGGAGGGAGGCCCATAGTAGAGCCAGGAGTAAAACTATCGGATAAAGATGACTAAGATGTCCCTCTTTCACTCCGACGAAGGACTAGCTTCCGAAACGTCAGTAAGTTTTTTTCATCTTTTCACGGTGTATAATTTACCTTTTCATCATTACTATAAGATGCTTACGTTTACTTCTTCTTCTTTTTTTTTTTTTTTTCTCTCACGTTTTTACTCTCCTTCTCAGTTGGTACGTGTTTGTAATTGTATAAGTTAGGACCATACCTCCAGACGCAGAGCTGAAGCGCAGTATGGCAGCGCGAAGCATTTACGGCTATACCGGAGATTTCGGCCCCAACACCGCTATCCAGTGACTGATCAGGAAGCTCGGCCGAAGCCTAAGGGAGAGGTTAGTCGGCCCCTAAACCGTAAATGATCAACCCCTTTTTGTTTTAGCTTCGCACCAGTGTCCCAAGATGTGCAAAAGGGACAGCATGGTGGTCTTTAGCAAGGGGGG